AGCGCGCATCTGGCCCGCTGGGCCGGCGATTTCCCGAAAGCATTCTCGCCGACATCGTGGAAAATCGTAAAGACTGCCCCAGGGCCCGATGTAATGCCATATTCGGCGTGGCGCGCATGCGGAGGCGCAGGAGTAAAGTGCCTGCGTGAAGTCTACTTCGAGCTGGCGCATGACCGGAGGCTGCCACCATGTTTCAATGTTAGCTCGGCCGCATTTTTACCTGGGGGGCAATGGGATGGGCGGGGGAGCTGTCGCGAGGATGGCAGGAGAAACTAGGCAGTTGCCTCTGTCCAACACGGGCAACAAGGCGATTGGCGCGCGCATTGCCTGGCCACTTCCCCAAGTTGCCGGCGATGGAGCAGAGGGCGCACAACGTGGCTTCCTGAGAGGGAGACAGCTTGTGGATGGCGTTATAGAAGTTGACGCCCCGCTGTTCCCCGGCCACGCTGCCCTCGGTGAACGGCGGACAGGAGCAGCCTTGTTCGACCTGCGCGCCGCCTTTCCTGGCGATGTCCATGCATCTATTCGGGCAGTCCTGCGAGCCGTTGGAATTCCTGAGTTCATTGTTCTCAGCACTGTGGCACTACACCATAACATTTACTGGTAATCAGTTCTTCGGGGCCCGATCCCGTCTACATCAAACTGCTCAGAGGCATCGAGCAGGGCTGCCCGCTTAGTGGGCTCATCTTCAGCCTCTGCTTTGAGCCTGTGATTAAGAAATAACAGGAAACCTGTCTGTTGGCTGCCGTTGTCTTCGATGTTTCTGCGGATGACCTCGCCACATCGTCCAGCGACCTTGTCCGCGTGCTGCCGCGTATCGTGCGAGTGCTTGTGCAGAGTGGGAGCGGCGCTGGTCCCATCCTTAACTCGAAGGAGTGCCATCTTGTTCTTCCTGGCGCTGACACATGTCGGAGCGCCCTCGGGATCTGCGAGGAAGCAGGCATTCCAGTGCGCACTTTCAAAGTTGCTCAAGATGGCTGGCATCTAGGCGTTGGGATTGGAATTCGAAGTGCAAGTCTCTCGCGGGCTTTTGTCTTAGCTAAACTTGGCGAACGCTGTCTTCACACCAACTCTTTGGAATTGGCTGTGTTATCAAGTATACCATGTTACAACATCGATGGCTCACCAGCGGAATCGCACGTCGCCCAAGTTCACGCCCCCCCCCCCCCCGCCTGAAATTGCCAAGCGCGTTGAGAAAGACGGTCGAGAGCTGTTCACTTGTTCCCACTCGTTCTAGTTGTCGTCCACTGGCAATGTTTCACTTGGAGAACCTAGGCCATCGGGTGGAAGCGCGGAGACTGCACGTCTTTGCGGAAGCTTGCACGTTGAGAGCGGCCATTCGTAGCAGCATGTTCCACAACTACTATAACCGAATGAAATAATGGGGGGGGTGTCGATCGAGATATGTCTAACGTGGCGTACCACGATCATGGCTAGACATTCCATACGCATGCACATGATTTCCGTGTATGGCAGCTTCCACCGGATACATCACCCACCTAAAGATATCCCGGCTAAAAAAAAACTCAATTGTTTGTTCATGACATCCTTTTTCGTGGCTTTCCCCTTCCTACTACTGCTACCACTATCCTTCCTCGTCTTCGGACGTGGGGTCCATTCAGTATGCGGGATGCAGACCTGTGCATGATTCGCCTGAATGTTCTGGGCCGACATCTCCCAGGTTACATTGCCACATATCTTTGCAACGCGCCGATGCAGATGCGGCGCAGGAGGGTGTAAGTTCTGGCGCTATGCAATGGGCGGGGATGATAAATTACATTATATGGTTTGCCGTAGTGCTTGGAGTGCACTTACTTCCTGTCTTGGTCGACTGCAGGAGACTAGCTCTGGAGATCCATTATTGTCCTTCCCCCCTTCATATCCTCCCCTCGAATCGTGGGGCTGTTCGATCCCATTGCGTTGCCATGGATTGTGTTCATCATGCTTGTCAGTGTCGCCGTGCCTCTCCTCTGCCCCCGTCCTCCTCCCGCACCGCTGGCATTATCCAGTTTCGGCTGCGCACCAATGGTCGCAGATCTCGAATCGCCGCCGCCCCCGTGAGAGCTTGACATATGGGTCGGGCTCCAAACTGGTGGTGCTCAAGGTGTCGCCGCAGATGTCCATCAGCAGCATCGACGACTTTAGGACCTCCCTCTCCCCTTCCTCCTGGCGCGGGTCCTCTTCCCTCCATGCGCATCCCGTACTCTCCCTTCCCTGCCGTCGTCGTCGTCGTCGTCGTCGTCGTTCCGTCCTCCCTCCTCCTCCTCTTCCTCCCCCTGCTCCTCTAACATTCCCCCCATCCTATCGCATGCCTTCCCTTCTCTCCCCTGATTATGTCTTGAACAACTCTGGCCTTCTTCGCGTATTGTTTTAAGTATTGTCTTAGGTGTTGTTTTGTTAATTTCGATGCTTCGGCGTTTCAAAGTGGCGTTCCCGCTGCAGCGTGGGCCTCATTGTCAGATCAGCACTGTGCTCCCGTCGTTAAGAATTGTGTTTTCACCCCAGCGCAGGCAACCTTTCTAGATCCGAGTCATGCTTCATCGTTGTCGGCCCCCTCCTTTTCCTTCTCCCCCCATCCTCCCTCCTTCTTTCCTCCTGCTGCCTTCCCCTCCGCGCGCGGGTGGGGGGGCAGGCCGGAGAGAGAAAGGAACGCCTGGCCGCATCCGAGGAGAAGGAGGGGGAAGGGGTGGAGCGAAGGGGCGTGGACCAAGGCCTCCCGCACGGGGTCCGAGCGGATTGGGTCGGAGGATCGCGCCGCATTGCCGATGCGTTGGCGATGCGGTTCGATGTGGAGCCCGACCTTCTCCCGCGCGGACGTCGCAGATGCAGCGCCGACGTCGCCGATGCTACGCGATCCTCCGACCACATCTGCTCGGACCCCATTTGAAAGGCCTCAGGTTTGGGGGCGCAAGCTTGCCTTCCTGCGAGACCCCTGCAAGCCCACCGTCCTCGCGCACGCTCATGTTTCATACTGCTGGCGCGTCCTTGAGGTTAATCTTGTCTTCGTGTCCAGCCTCCCTTCCCGAGTCGGTGTCGCTCGCAGCCCATCTGGCCATGCAGCACCAGGCCGTCTTTGGCCAATATCATCATCGATGGTTTGCTGTCAGTCTGGGCCGCCTCTCGATTGGCCCAGGTTCATGTTGCTTCTATGCGCGATGGGCGAGCCTGACTGTTCGTGCTGAGAGGTCGGCATCATGCCATCGCGTCCCACATATTTCCAGGCCCCGTCCCCTCTTCTCAGGCAGCGCCTCACGCTCGGCTTGGCTCCAGCCATGCTGCGTGCCGAGGTTGCCCGGCCAGCACCGCTGAGTGTTCGACGGCGCTGGCGCATCCTGCACGTCTTGTCTTCGCTCAGGTGTCCTGGACATCTTCGCACTTCGTTGCTGCCACTGCACCAGGAACGCCACCAGACCAGCTCCAGACTGTAAGGGACCGTCCACGCGGACCGCAAGCACCCGTCGCGAGGAGTTCTGGCCACCAGCTGCCCGGGAGCATTCCAGTGACCACGTCACAGCCCGCAAGAGAGGCAAGCGGGCATCGTTTGCGAACGCGTGCGGCTAGACACGAGAGGCATGTGCTGGAGCAGGGGCAGCGGCAGTGGCAGCATTGGCAGCAGCGGGTGCGGCTTGAAAACGTAAGAATCTGAGAGGAGCGGAGGGGAGACGACGGGAGGAGAAGGAGGAGGAGGAGGAGAATGAGGAGGAGGAGGAGGAGGAGAAGGAGGAGGAGGACAACGACGATGGCGCCGACGACGAGTTCAGTCCAGGCCCCTTGCTGCTGGCTGCCTGGCCGCCCACCTCCTCCTGCCGCTGCCGCAGCCTGGCGCAGGACGCCCTTGCGACGAGCCAGAGGCGGGGGCTGGCGCCCTCCCCGCCTGGGCCCACCTCCCCCACGAACCTCGCTTCAAGGTGCAAACAACGCTCTACCGAAGGCTTGATCAGCAAAACTCGCTGGCACTGCGGAGCGCCAGCACTGGCGAGGACAAGTCGAGGTTTGGCTCCGGCGGAGGGCCGCGCGCTGGCGCCTGGCAGCAGGCCACGCCTGGGGCAGCCACGCAGCGCCTGAGCGACTCTAACTGCTGCTTCACAGCGCGCGCGCGCTTTGGGGCCGGGACCTGGCACCGCGTAGCGCCTCTTGCGCCAACCGCACCCGCACTGGCCCGCGCGCAGGCCGGGTGTGCGGGGAGCGCCTCTGCAGCAAGGCTCACCACGCTTGTGAATGTTCTTGCGGCGAAGGCGTCCAATCCCGCAATAAGGATGTCACGGATGTGTGGCGTCGCATTCACGACGAGCGCGGCTACCACACAACCCGACAGGTCCATGTCCCAGCCTGGGGCTGGGGGGCCTGGAGCTCCGTAATTGCGACGCCCAGGGCACAGGACACCAGCAGCCTGGCACTTGCAGCAGCTGCGGCTAAGCAGACGGCGCGCGCCGAGAGGAAGGCATCTCCGACATAGAAGCGCAGCGCGCCGGCTGCCCGCGTGCGTTTATGGACGCCACAGTTTGGTACGTGGTGCCGGGAGACGCAGCAGGCATGGCCGTGGCCGCCGGCCGAGACGGCGCCGTCAACGCAGACACAAAATTTGACAAGAGGCAACGGTACCAACAGGCCGCTGTTGTTTCTGGCTGCTGCCGCTTGCGCTCGAGACCGGAGGGCGCCACGGCAAGGCCGCCTTCCGCCACCTCCGCCAGTTGGCCCGGGACGAAACCGCGTCGGCAGACAAGGACAGGGCGGAAGCGATCTTCAGCGCCCTGACGCAGCATTGAGGCGTTGAGTTGTCGGTGGCGTTCCACCAAGCGACAGCCCGGCAGCTGCGCACGAGCCTCAGGGAGAACCGCGCGGAAGGCGTGGCCGCCCTCCAGGAGGCGATGGTGCATTTAGGTGGTGTACAGTTTGTGCAGACCTGTCAGCACATGGTGGCCACCTGATTGCAGGAGGACGAGGACGAGGACGACGACGACGACGACGGCGTTGAGGAGGAGGGATTCCGTACGTGCGAGGCGGCAAATCTCGTCAGAGTGGCTACTGGTGGAGCCCAAGACGATCATCATCAGGAGGCTGCTGGGTGGCGGGCTGGAACTATTGTCAAGGGCAACGCTTGGGGGGCGGGATAGGCTCAGGGGGGGACACATCGACCCCCAATCGCCCATTGATCGCCGGTAGGGGCCAGATTGCCCAGCCCCGCCCAGGAACGCGAGGATTCGTTATTGTGGGCCTACCGCCGATTTGTCTGCGATTTATCGCCGATTCAGGCTCTATGCCCCCGTCCTAAGCTCGTCCCCCCTAACGTTTCCCATTTGTGCTGGGCAGACGATTGTTGCGATCAAGCGCCCAGAGCCGTGCTTGCCCCGTTTAACTGATGCCAGGATCGCTGGGTTCAGACTCTGTCCGCGCTTCAGACTCCGCCCCATGGCTGTTTCAGAAGCCCCCCCTCCTTGGGCCGTCATCCGCCGCCTCCGAAGCAACCAGTCGACAAGGCAAGAGTCTTGCACAACTCTCCCTTCTGTTTTTTACTGTTCGTACATAGACACCTCGGGCAGTCTCGGTTCTCGCCTGGGGCCTCGTGGAGGCATACCCGAGGCGTCATCTCGGCGGCAATCTTGGATTATTTGAGGCACTCTTGCGGCCCTCTTCGGCGACCTCATTAAATGCTCTGTGGGGTCGCGCCTCCCCGTCCAAACCCCCTGAGGGGGCGTTGAGGACAGGTTCACGGGGCAGACGGCTTTGCTCTTTCGAGTCGGGTCTTCACTATTGAGCGAGCGAGGATGATGATGGAGGAGACAGGGGTGAGGCAGGTGAGGAAGTGGAGGAGGAAAGGGAGGAACAAACAGGTTGGTCCCCTGCGTCCTTCACCGAGAGATGATCGACTGTCATCCTGTAATCCTTTGGTGCGCACCTCGGAAAGGTTCCACCGCGTACCCCTTCAGGTATCCGGGTGGGCGGGCACGATCGGGCCGCGCCTGAGCAGACAGCTGCGCGGCGCGCGGGGGCTGAGGGGGAAGGGAGCCAACGGGAGAGTCAGAGAGAGAGACACCAGCAGGAGGAGGAGGAAGAGGAGGATGAGAAGGACGGTGAGGAGGGGCACGAGGACGAGGAGCAAGGGAGGAGCGGAGAGGAGGAATCGGAAGCATGACGCCCTCTTTTGGCGCGGGCCATCTTGAGGCCTTGGAAAGCCGTAGGGGACGAAAAGGCGGTGAGGCTAAACATCATTGCGAGAACGTCCCTTTACGTTTGGGACGGTTGTGGCCTCTTAGGTGTATATCGAAGACGTTTGCGGCGAATCACCGCCGCCTTGTGCTTTTATTTTGGATACGCCTGTGTGGCCGAACGTTTGGGCTAAGTTTGGCCACGCTATTGGACCATGCGTTCCCCCAGCCGTTGTGGAAGCCCTTCGGGGAACACGTGGGGGAGGAAGAGGAGGATGAGGATAGGGAGGGGAAAGCAGGACGATAAGAAGGATTAGGAGACCTCTTGGAAGCTTCTTGGGTCACGCTTGGGGCCTGCTGGGAGCTTCGTGGGGTCCTCTTGGAGACCTCTTGGGCGCCTCCTTGGGCCTCTTGTAGGCCTTTGAAGGCCTGTTTGAGGCTTCTTACTGCGTTCCTGGCCCGTCTTACTGCGTTCCTGGCCCGTCTGACGCCATCGGGAGCCGTCTTGGGAGTTTCTCTGGGCCGTCTTGGGACCCCGTTGGGGCGCTTCAGGGTCGTCTTGCTGGCATCTTGGAGGCCTCTTGGTCCGTCTTGGGGCCCTTTAGGGGGCCGTCTTGGGAGCCTCTTGGGCAGTCTTGGGGCCATCTGGGGGCAATCGTGGGGGCCTCTTGGGCCGTCTTGGAAGCATCTTGGGACCATCTCGGAGTCTGTCTTGGGCCTATGCTGGGCTCTCTTGGGGGCATCTTGGCCGTATGGGAGGCCATCTTGGCCGTCTTGGAGGCCATCAGAATCGGAAAAGCCTATGGGAGACGCGTCTGGGCGAGATTTCGGGTGGCCAGTGGGTTGGGCCGAAGCCCCAGGAGGAGCTTCAATGACAAAGAACCAACCACAACTAAACATTCAGCACGCCATGCACTCCGATGATGCATCAACAGGGGGCGGCGGATCGAAGACGCGTACTGCGAGTCACATTCGCCCCCTGCCTTCTTTGAAGCGCCTATGTGGCCGAACGTTTGGCTAGAGCAATCGGACTATGTGTCCCCCAGCCGTCGTTGAAACCTTTCGGAGAACACGTGAGGAAGAGGGCAAAGATGAGAAGAAGGAAAAGGGAATAGAATGATGAGGAGAAGGAGGAACGGGTGGAAGAGGAGGAGGAGAAGAAGAAAGAGGAGGAGGAGGAGGAGGACACCTCTTGGAAGCCTGTTGGGCCCACACTTGTAGCCTCCTGCGACCTTGAGCCCGTTCGGAAAAGCCCCCGGCGATCACGCGCGTGACCGGCCCCACCCCCCCTCCCCTCCCCTCCTAGTCACGTCGCGGCGGTCGTCCAGTGGCGACCGCGGACGTCGTGTGGCGCTCGAAGGCTACTGTGGTGTTCAGAGGCATGTTGTTGTGCTCACGGGGACGCTGTGGCACTCGCGAGGGAAAGCGGCACTTGCGTGCGTGCCGCGTGGTGCTCTCAGGGACGCAGTGTTGTTCCGTTGCTGAGAGACATTGGCGCGGCGGTCGAAGCGCGGCGCTCGTAGTTGCAGGTGCTGAGTGGTGCATACGGGCACTGAATGTGCACACGGGCGTTGTGTAGTACGTGAACGTTGCGGTGTTCATAGTCGATGTGGCGTGCGCAGGCACTGCGGGCTCAAATGCAGGGGGCCGTGTCCAGGGCAAGAACAAAGGAGGACG